ATGGAAACTAAAGTTAAACAGTTCCAAAACAGAAGCAATTATGTTTTCGAGAAAACGTAAACTTCCTGATCGTACTTTAGTTATCAACGAACATCGTATACCATGGTCTAGAACCGTTAAATACCTTGGTGTCAATCTTGATATCAAATTGAACTGGACTTTCCATGTTGAAAAAGCGAAAGCAAAAGGGCTTAAGGCGTTGGGTGCTCTTAGTTCTATTTTGAATAGGAAATGTAATTTAAGCGCTAGTACTAAACTTAAAATATACACAACTCTGATAAGGCCATGTTTCACTTATGCTGCACCCGTTTGGAGCAGCACTTGCGAAACCAACTTGCAAAAATTGCAAGTTCTGCAAAATAAAGCTTTAAAAATTGCATATAATACTCCATTCTGTACGAATCTCAAAACTCTACACCTGCAGATTAAATTTCCTACAGTAAAAAAGTTTATTTATAAAGTAACATTAACATTTTATAAATACACAAATATAAATCACAAAAATAAATTAATATCTAGTATCGGGTTATCACGTTTATCGACACTACCGTATGTCGATACTTACAATCGATACCGTCTACCGCATCACTGCATACTCGCCGAATCTGATAGCAATGATGACGCGCTTGCGCCGGTGCAATAAATTATATTTCATATGTGTGGGTATCTGAGATAGTTTTTTGCGGATGCCGTTGGTATCAATTTTGCTTTATAATAGTATTAGTAATTAACTGTTAATTACATATATTTGTGAAGAATCATTGTCTAAAAAAGTGTGTCTGGTTCAAAAGACGCGTTATTGTTGATTTACTAAGTGACTTGTGTAATAGTGTTGTGTACCTACATTGTAAAGAAAAAAAAACTGTGAGTATTATACAAATGTAATTTAAAGACCTAAAATAGGTGCGTTAGCCTGCATAGTCATATTTATATCATGTTTCTTGTAAACTGACCGTGTCTGTTTTATAATGACTGTATGCTTTTTATGATAATAAAGAAATTATAAACAAACAAAAACTATTTCTATGGATTGTCAGTATGCATATGTGAGCACCATGTTAGACTTAAGATTTTAAAACTATGGTTTAATTGAAATAAATGCTTTGACTTTGACTTTGACTAATCTTGTCTGCCATATTGATAAGTTTTATACTAAAATATGCTTAATGTCTTTACCATAAGAAGTAGTTTTAATATTCCTAGAAGTTTCTTCAAGAAGCCAGTCAGCAGCATCTTTTCTGGGTGCTGGCCATCCAAACTCGCCTTCTTCTGTTGTTGACGCATTCCTTAGAATTATTAAAGCTTCTGGTACTATTGGACTCCTGAAATGACATAGGTACATAATAAATATACAATTTTAAATCAATCTTTAGACGATTTCATACATATTTTGTTTCAGAATTGTTGACTTCCTCATTTCTAAAGGGTAAATTGTGTTTTATTTCCTCACCTAGCTAGAACCAAAGCTAAAACGGTAGCAGCCAGAGCAGCTGGAGAAGTCAAATTGTGTAAGTTGTGTTCCAAGTAATTTTGAGCTTTCTTCGCCACATCAGCATCAACCTGCAAAAATTAATGTAATAATTTATTAGAACAAATTACCTTGCCTTATCAAACGACATTGTTATTTTAGGATATGGTAGTCCTATTCCTAAAATGGTCTCGTTCCTCAAAGCTCATCTTACCTTATTTTCAACTCCGACTTCAAGCAAAGCAACCAAAGTCTCAGCAGTGACTTCAACTCTCCTCTCCCAATCAATCTCTTCCTGAGTCATATTCCCATCCTTATCATAATAGTAATATTCATTGACGTCTACTTCTTTCGCTGTACCATTAGATTTCGTGAGGTCTACTGGATAGTAATCTACTTCTTTATCAGCAGCCAGAGGTGTAAAGGATCCATCCGCATTCTGTCGCTTCTGTATCCATTTCTTTATGTTTTGTAGCAGTTCTGGGTCGATCGGGTAGTAAGATTGGATTTTCGTTAGTATTTCCAGTATTTTGATTGTTGATAAGTGACTGCTCATTCCTGGATGATCACTAAAGGAGTTGTCGCTTTTTCGGAATGATAGTAAAACTTGGACCTGTAATAAAAAATAGTCCCATCTACATTTTTTGATATATTAGCAAATAAGCTTATTAAAGTCATTTATTTAGATTTTCTGATTAGTTGTGAATTCTATTAAATATGTAATAATTACCTGCTCAGGCAGTTTTCGTAAGATGCGTTCCCTCTCAGCATCATCAACCAAATGTGGTATATGTTCCAAAGCCAATAAAGGAGCCAAACTAGCGGAAGCTGCTGATAGTTGCGAGTCTCTCCACACTTCAGCCCACTGGTCAGTAGAATCCGTTTGAAGACTATACAGGGGAAGATGTAGACCACCAGATACTAAAAGAGTTCCACTTGCAGATCCTGGGACTACACCACGTGGCAAACCGAGTTCTAGGACTTGAGAGAAACCTGCTTCTTCATTAAAGTTCCAGATTCTGAAATAGTTTATAGAAGTTAGTCAACATTTCATCAAAGTGAAAAGGTACCAATTTAATTTTCAGTTATTTCTTATTTCTATACAGTTTTTACTTGGATAGCTTGTTTTCAGACTAATTTAGATCAGATCTTTTAACGCACACGAAAGAATCCTTACTAATATTACAAATCGGAAAGTGAGTTTGTTTGTTCCGCTATCACACCGTAACTACTAAATCGATTGCTTTGAATTTTTGCAGACGTAAAGTTAGAAGTCCGGATTAAAATCAATTTTTATATTTGATAAAAAGTACCCTAATAGGGTACTTTTTATCAAATAAAAAAATATAAAATTTAGGGATATAAAGTAAATGATAAAAAGTACCCTAATAGGGAAAAAAATATCATTTACTTTTTATCCCGGAAAAAATTGATATTCCCGAGGGAAAACAAAAGCATTGGTATAGATGGCGCTGTGTATTGGTATATTATGTCACAGGCTACTTTTTATCCTTTTGTGACGCGTGTGAAACCTGCCGGTAAAAGCTAGTTTTATTATAATTGGGTGATTTGCGTTCAGTCAAAAATAAACTATATATGCCAAGATTCAAAGTTCCTATTCCAACCTAGACGAGATAGTTACCTAAAATCTGCCTTATCGCCCCAGAGTGCACTGAAGCCAACAAACTTGATCCTCATATCAGGAGCTAGAGGCCAGACGAGGAGTCTTCTTTCAGAAGGTGCGGCTCCTCTGCCAACAGACAACCTGCCCCCCTCCCACCACACCCACCAAGCACACCAGGAGTCAGCTCCAGAACAGTCCTCGTCACTTTCCGTTTGTTCTGCACTAGCCAGGTGGACGTCGTACCCTGAAATGAAGTGACAACATTTTTAGAATTTAAGTGATTAATTGATCTTCCTTTGAATCGATTATTGTGTAATTTAACTCGTTGACATACTACTTGTATTGTTTTGATCGATTGAACAGAAAAGAAAACTTTCTTATTTAAATCTAATTTTTATAGTCAAATAAAGTTTATGTGTCAATACAATTTTAGAAATGATCCGAAAGTTCTAAAGTTGCTCAAATAAATTATTGCCCATGAGTATTACTGCAATATTGTATCATCTATTTTTACAAAATACTCACCATGTTTTCCTTTAGCAATCCAGACTCTGGTTCTTTCAAACACAACTCTATACATATCGTCTGAAGGTTCACGTATCGATGACAATGCCACGTGAGCTGCACCTTGAGCTCGCAGTTCCAGCACTAACCCTGCACGATTTCGAGGAGCAGCCACCCATTGCCACTCCCAGGATCCTCGAGAAGACACTGCTAGGTGTTCTAGAAGAAGAATATAATAATTTTATTTTCAATCCTCTTCCTTACTTTATGAAAGGGAAAATACTTTAGTTGACAAGGATTATTCGGAATATGAGTTGGAGTATAAGAGGGATACCAATTGGTGTTAATTTTTATGGAGAACATTTTGCAATCTCGGTAGTTGTCGGGTAAAAAGAAGAAAATGAAATGGCGAAGTCGGCTATAGAAATTTTCCAAATAAACAAACCACTTGTGAATTAGAGGTATATGGAAAAAGATTCTTATAGATTTCTAGTGTACAACAATATTTACGTAGAAAGATACTTGTCAGAAAATATTTCTTTGCCTTTCACGAGGTTTCAATAAGAAAAACATAACACTAAGGACTTTCTAGGTATTCCTTAGATCTATTAAAAACCTATTACGGAAACACTAAATGAAGTTAGGCACTTATTTTTTTAAACATTTTGAATTTTTGTGCCACACTGTGGATTGCTATTTTATTTTATGGATTGAAAACTTAGGATGAAAGACAAAATACTTCAATTTAATATACTAACAATACTTAAATTTTTGTTGTTTCCTTTTTTTTACTTTCATTTTATTTTATAGTTTAGTTGTAGTTCATTTTAAGTTGTAAATATTTATGTAGTTATAAAGAATGTAATATATTTTTGCAATAAATAAGTCCTCCATTTCTAAAAAAATACTTCTTTAAGCGAAAACAACTACAGATTTTAAAGTATCTGGAAGAAGCTCTTTCCAACAGTGGGAGATGTTCTCAAGAGTGGGCTTTTAACGAAAATTGCCAAAAACGTCTGCAAAAGTAGTACCATTGTCTTAAGTGTTCATTCTTTTGTCTCAAAAAGTACAATTAGAGTCATAAAGCTATGAACATGGTTTTTCGACATATTTTTTCTACTAGAAGCTTAGTTTTAAAACTTAAAGTATGCGATGCGTCACATCGTCGTCTATTTTAACGTCGAAACAGTTTTAGTACGTACAATGTGTGTTTATTTATAACATAACATCACGCCTTTTATCCCCGAAGGGGTAGGCAGAGGTGCACATTATGCCACTGTACAATGTAACACCCACTTTTTACTATTTATGTTATGAGTCCCATGTAATAGGGGGTGAGCCTATTGCCATGTAACGGGCACGATTCCAGACTCCGTGCTACTACTAAGAATTTTTGAAAAAACCCAGTAATACTTTACCCGACCCCGAATTTCAATCCGAGACCCCTTGCCCGGCGCAGGCGCACTTGCGACCACTCGGCCAACGAGGCAGTTTATTTATATGTGTTTATTTATATGCCAATTGAAATGAAGTTAAATTAAGCTTTTAAGGGATGCTTTAACAAAAAGGTAAACAACCACTTACCATTAGCACAGAAGTAAGCGCTCTGGGTATCAGTCCGATGTAGACCTTCAGGCAGTACCAGCACGCTGGCTGACCTGATGACGGAGCCGACGAGGGTCTCGTTGTTGAATGATGTGTAGGACACGGAGCAATTGTCGGCACTGTAGCCTGTTACTTCCACTGTAAGATAAGAAAAGGGAATCTGATTATTACCTACTTTATTGTCAGATTGTGGAAATTGGGTAGTTTCCAAGGTATCAAAATTAAAAATCTAATTAGATCGTCAGTTACATAATGGAAAAATATTGTATACGTATTTTTTATTTTCTCGTATTAAGTTGCAATACTTATATAAAAATGGCGTTATGTTTCGGAGTGTCTTTCCGAGTGATCCCTATTCACCCCATTTTACGATATCATAATATAATAATAAACACACACTAAAAATATCAGCATTGTAAAAATATGAAATATAAAATGTTTTCGAATAGTGTGACAAGATACAAATTCAGTTTTCAATAGACACGATTTTCAATGTACACACCTTTTCTAGAGTTCAACCGTGTTGCAGATATGCGACAAAATAAAGCAGTCTTAGATATAAAATAAGTTTATTCGAGATTTTCTACTTTAAAAGGAAAAAACTTGTCAATACAGTTTAAATTAGGTATTGTTATTAAACCAAGAAGCTACCTGCTTTGCCGTATAATTTTAATAAAAGAAGAGAAGAGAGAATGAAAAAACATTTATTCGACAGTAGGCACGCACACAGATACAAAAAAATACAAAATTAAAAAAAGAAAATAATAAATAAATACACATATTTATATTGATATAGAAAAAAACAAAGAAACGACAGAGAATAATAACACAGTAATTAAAATTATTAAAAACATGATATAAATAAATAACATTTAACAGCGCGTGCCCTTGCCAAAAGGGCCTCCATCTCTATTTAATGTGATTCCAATTCATAGTTATAACAATGAAAAACAGTCTCATTTCCAATTAACTCAGGTCACACAAAAAGTGGGATGAGAGTATTAGAAAATGTTGCCTAGATTTTAAACTGCGCATGAGAGTGCGCATTTGCATTGGTTGGCTTACTTAATTCGTCGAGTACCGTCATTATAGATACAATTATAGAACAATAGTTTGCGGTCACCGGTGACCGCTTGGTGTTTGACAGTTTAATCTTTATATGAGTTTCAATACTGACTAGTTACGTAAACACATTTCGCACTAATCAAAATTATAGACATAATATAACATCACGCCTTTTATCCCCGAATGGGTATGCAGAGATGCACATTGTGCCACTGTACAATGTAACACCCACTTTTTACTATTTTTTTGTTATGAGTCCCATGTAATAGGGGGTGAGCCTATTACCATATACCGGGCACAATTCCAGACTCCGTATTACTACTATGATTTTTGAAAACCCATTTATACTTTGCCTGACCGGGAATCGAATCCGAGACCCCTTGCCTGGCAGTAGCACTTGCGACCACTCGGCCAACGAGGCAGTCTAATGTAATGGAATTTCCAATATATTATTATCTATCGCTACAAAGTAACTATTACAAAGTAATGATCATCTCCGAACATCCCAGGATTTATATCATCGACGTGTCCTAATAAATCTGAGTCATAATAATTTTGCAAAACATAAAATTATTTTATATCTCCAGTTCCGTTGAATCTCGTTCACGACATAGCATTTTTATATCTATTTTTTATTACTATGACCGTAGGAGAAAATTTTGGTGCAAGATGAAAGCGGCAGCGGTATGACTGCAGTGCAAGATTTTTATTTTCTTTTATTATGGATAGATACAGATGCATTTTATGATTTTTGTTAAAATTGTAGTATGTTTGTCTTCTAAAAACATGAACTTACTTAACGGAGAATCTAAACACCGACCAAAGGCATATCACTTTTTAAACTAAAGGCATATTGTATTTGACATTATCGTTATTTATTTTACATAACATAACATCACGCTTTTTATTCCGGATGGGATATGTAGATGTGGAGGTGCACATTACGGCACTTAATGCCACTGTACAATCTAACACCCACTTTACACTATTTATGCTATGAGTCCCATGTAATAGGGGGTGAAGACTATTGCCATATACCGGACACAATTTTAGACCCCGTGCTACAACTGAATTTTCAGTAGTATTTTGGCCGACCCGAGAATCAAACCCTTGCTCGGCATTCACACCTGCGACCACTCTGCCAACGAGGTGGTCTTTATCGTACTTTAATTTATTTATATCGCTTCTACATATTCGCACCAGATAGTAATAGTCTTTTTACGGGACAAGCGTTTTCACGTTTTAATATCTTAACTTAGGCCACAACCCACGATCACACGTTCCCCGTAGCATACAATCGTATTGCAAAGGTAATAGAATCTGCTACGTTTATTGCCAGCACAGACATAGAAAACACTCGGCAAGGAATTGAAATACAATGAGTATCATTTTATTGTGGCGGGATTGAAGCTAAACGTGGCGTGAATGCCACTTTAGATAGCTAACTGTGAAGGAGATATTGATTTTTATGTCGATTTTTTAATGGTATCTGCAGTTGTTACAGTTGTAAATGAAAGGTGTTTAAGGTTATTGTAGAGAATGAAAGTTTCGTGTCAATAATATTAATTCTAACTAATTATTAATAGTAAAACCTATAGGCGAGTATTCTACGAAACAGTTGGCAAAGATTATTAAACATTTTTAAACTGTCAAACACCAAGCGGTCACCGGTGACCGCAACCTATTGTTATATAATTGTGTCTACAAAACCGGTAGGTACTCGACGAGTTAAGTGACAAACATTAATATTATTTTTTTAAAACGTTGCCCCACCTTAGGATTTTCTTCTGTGTCGTGGGTGCGTTTACCTACAAGTTCACATACACAAGGACACCTAGACCCGAAACAACGATTTGTGGATCACACTAAGTGTTGTTCCATGCGGGAATCGAACCCGCGACACGTTGCACGGCAGCCGGTTGCCCAGCCACCACCAACCGTGCAGTCGGTTTGTATTTGTCTCATATTTGAGTAACGCAAATTATATTATTTTTCAAGTAAGAAAGAAGAAATCCTCATTGGTATTTACAGTGCAATCCTTGATTTTTAATATTAATATCATTACGCCAACATAGTTTTTGTACACCTTTATTTCCAAAGCACCCAAGACGGACATATACTGACCAGATTGGCGATATATTAAAGAAGGGCCAAATAAAAGTACCCTTAACCGACGAGCATGCATAAAAAGATTGATGACTGTTGATGAGGCGAAAAAGGTATGTAGAAAAATCGTAGTAATTGGCATTCCATAGTCTCTGCCTACCCTCATGGGAGACACGTGAAGTTATGTATCTCCGAAAACCGATACCGCTGTTATTTAGAAGCCTCCGCTTATTAATCAAACTGTCATATACCATTCTATCACACACAATCTCATTTACCTATTTACCCCAAAGGATACGAATGTAACATTACCATACCTTATTACTAGAACTATCTCCCTATCGCGTCAATTGGTAATTTGACTGAACATACAACTTCACGTCGAGTCCAATTTAAATGTTTATTAGAACTGCCTCGTGAATTTGACTAGACAACAATACTGTATTACTAATCGTGCCATTTGAAAATACAATTCAAGTATCATTAGAAGAGAAAGATTCAGATTACATAGCCTGATACCTGTCTCCCAAGGGGGTTGACAGAGTCTATGGAGCGCCAATTGCTATGATTTTTGTCCGACTTCAAAAAAAGAGGAGGTTCTCAATTCGACCGTTTATATGTTTTGCTAAATCTCTTTCGCTTCATAAACAGTCATCAGTCGTTTCATGCGTATGTAATCGTCGGTATAGATTCTGTTTTAAAATTAAGACCATTGACAGTGACAGGCCTGATAATGAAAAAAATATTAGAAAAAAAAAAATATTTTGTCACAATTATAATAAAACAATACTGAGATAACATGCATTCAAGTTTAGAAGTGGGAGCAGGCTACGTTATTTTTAAGTATAAAACGCTACATAATTAAAAAAAAAACGTATTAATGGCGTAGAAAGTCATTGTTTTCGTAAGAAAAAAAAATAAAAAAAAAACTTAATAATCTATTCTCATCATTATTCATATATCAGTAGAGTGAGATTTAGATTGTGTTTCGAAATTAGGACCATCCCAGGTTGAATAGCGGTTGAATAACATTGACCTGGGGCAAGTGCTTGAATAAATTGTAGAGGACATTAAGAGGTGTTTTAGTTAGTGAATGGAAGGATTTAGATTACCTATTCAAATCCTTTGGTAGCAGTAATGGGTGGTTAGTAGCGTAAAATAAATGTAAATTAAAAATCTTTGATGCGTATTAGAAACAAATTGGGGACTGTTTTAAAATGAATTCTTTGAGGGACTTTGTAATAAAAGAATTTGTACTGTAGTTATTATGGAAGGTTTAATAAAATAATATGATATTTTTAGTAATCTAAAAGCAACATAAAGTATTATTCCCCTATGTTCCCTACGCTAATATTTGTTTAACCAAAATATATAGAGGTAATAAACAATTCGAAAATTGTATAGATTTAGCTGTGGAGTTGAATTCTGTTATAACAAATTGTACCACGGAAAATTCCATGACAAAACTTAACTTTCACGATTCTATCTTTAGAATAATATTCTAATTTATACTTGACATTTCTATTTCTCTGAAATGATATCGACTAAGTAGTGTAAGAGGGACTCAGAATAAACGGTACCTATAAATAAATTCTACGGCGTCTTGAACATAGAACAAAAAGATATTCAGGGTCAAAACTCGTTAGAAAACTATAGTTTGGTTTTTTTTTTTTTTTTTAAAACGTTGCCCCACACTAGGATTTTCTCCTGTATCGTGGGTGCGTTTACAAACATACAAGTTCACATACACAATGACACCCAGACCCGAAACAACAATTTGTAGATCACACAAAGTGTTGTTCCGTGCGGGAATCGAACCCGCGACACGTTGCACGGCAGCCAGTTGCCCAGCCACCGCACCAACCGTGCAGTCAAAGGCAGGTTGTGCAGTAGCAGCATAATTAAAGTCCATTTAGTTATTCTCAATTTATACGTATAGGTAGGAGCACAATAATTATGTATACCATTCTTCTAGCGTATTGCTTTTCAACTGAAACTTGGTCCAACTTTGCGATCAACGCTCATAAATTCGGGATGTCTTTAATTTCACAGTTACGTAAGATTCTTAAACCGGAATTTGCTTCCACAACTTCATTAAAATATTTTGTTCAACAGATTTCTTCGACGAAGGTTTTGGAATAAATTTCTGGTAGAATCTTCGCGTTCTTCGTCATTAATTAAGTATTCGTTGTAGCTATTAATAAATCTTAGAATTGACAGGCGCTGACGCTGATTAGGTTTTTGGTTCTCATCTCAGAAGGATGAATGTTGTGGTGGATTAAACAATTAACGGTGAAGAGGAGATTTAATGAATTACTCGAGAAGTTCTCCTTAATGAGATTTTATACGGCTTCATCATTAGTAATTTGTGGAACGATAGCTGAGTAATATTTAAAATACATTTGCTTAAAATTATGCATATTTTGAAATCTACTTGGCAACAGGCTACAAATTATAGAAATTAACATAGCACGAATTACATTACCTCCGTGACTTTCGAATCTAAATCTAACGAAGACATATCTCTTGAAAGCAATTTAGCCGAAAAGTAGTATACCAAGGTCATTTACCTGTAATATTCTTTCGTCCAGGAGTATTGACTGCCACCCTGACCACCAGTTGCGTTCCTCCTCGCGGTCCAAGCCGGAGTCGCTCCGTGACATACAACGCTCCTGTGCTTGCAAATGCCGCACCAGCGCTAAGTGCCAAGAGTGCAGTAACCTAAGAAGCAGAAGAATAAAAGAAAATATTAAAAATACTGAAGTGATTCCGGTGAGCGCTAAGTACTCCTAATTAAGGGTATTTCATTGTGGGAGGGGGGGACATGAATAACTGTCTTGGTTCAGCAACAAAATGAATCAGAAGATATTATAACAGGAGAAGAAAAAAAAACGATAGTTTCCACCTCCCTCGGTGAATTACTGCAGGAGGCAGTATGAATTAAGGTATAAAAAGAGACTACAACTGGGAGAACCCCATTGCCAAGCACCACGGAAAAACTAAAAGACTAAGTGGTTTTAGTATTACTTATTCAAGTTTAAATTAAACAACTAGACCAGACTGAAGTTTCATGGTATTATTAAATGGTTTAAACAACGCGCTGTAGCGCTTAAACTAATTACTCTTTCTACAAAGTCGTTATCATCTGGAAGCATGCCCGAAAGACTGGCAGCATTAGCATTTTGGAAAACAATGCCAAATCTTTGGCTCATAAGAAGAGATAAGTTTCAGCAATCAAATTATATCTGGTTGCCATTTTGGATTTCTGTTCGGTAAAGTACACAGGTAAAATCACAATCAAAAGTTACTCACTTGTAAAATTATGATTTAAAAGTCAATGTTGCAAGAAAAGGTTTGACAGTCCTGATAATTAATACAATATCTCAAAACTTAATTGCAAACTTACTTTGCAGTTACTTACATACGTCATTAGATATAAGATTTACATGAATATAAGATAAGATTTACAAGAAGTCCGCCTTATGTACATTTTGTGCATGAAGCTTTAAAATAAATAAATAAAATAAATAAATTTACGATAAAAATATACGAATCCAACCCAATTAGGACGTGGATTCAATATAAAAAAAAAAACCATTTCATCATTATCGTTTTCAATCAATCGAAAAGTTAACTAACAATATAGGGACCAAATAGCTCTATAAGCTGCTATACAGTAATAGATATTTAACCTTCCACTCAAGATCTCACGTTCCAATAACAAGAAAAGAATAACAAAGCTAAAATGAAATAGGAAAGGCAATAATTCTATGTATTTCTTCCATCGAGAAGTAGGGAAGTGGTATATTTTCGCAATAATCGATATGATATTAGCGCAAAATGGAATTTCTCGAGGTGTCGCCGTCTAGAGTTGTCCCAGAGGTGCAAAGTCAATAGCGACTAGCGCTTTGTTATTAAAACGGTAGACACACGTTTGGATTTTAGTGGATAGGATTGAGAAAGTATTTATTTTTAATGTTTAGTTTTCTTATTAGGATATCTGCTACATTACATGTGATACTAGAAGGACACAATTTCAACCTTGAAATCAATGTTTGCGCAATGCTATCAATCATTTAAACTCAATAATACATAAATAATTCGAATATCAAATTTTAACAGATTTGGAATAAAATTACGAAGCTTTCCAAAATTGTCAAGAATATAATGTAAAAAACATACTATCAAATAGTAAATAACAGTTCAAAGAAGCAGATTAAAATTAATTTTACGAAGCATTTTGTAAAACAATATTATTATAGAAGGATTGTAAAATAAAACGTAATCAGATCTTGAATCTTGATATAATTAATTGCGGCGTCAGTAATGAAGTTGTAATATCCAATTCATTTTGTAATACCGCATTTTACTCCATATTTTATTAATAAACGCAAATGGAGATGCCGTGGAGCCTCGCCGCCATTTTGAAAAATATAACGTGTAAAGTCCGTGTGTGAGTAATATTTTTTCACGTTGAAGGTGATATGTAAAATTGAAAAAAATACATAATATTATATCGAGGGGTAACGGACTATTTGGTTTAAGCGACATTTTGGGCGATTTGAGTTATTACATATATTCGACGGAGAAAGATTCGCTGATTCCATTCGGAATATATATTCATAATTATAATTATATATTCATATATATAACTCAAAATCGCCCAAAATGTCGCTTAAACCAATTAGTCCGTTACCCCTCGATATAAAATACGTAACATTTATTCTAGACAGGAAACCAAATGATAGGAAATTATTAAAAAAAAAATTACATTATGCTTCGTCGGTCGGTTCCTCCGTGCGAGAAGGGACTTTTTGATATCATTGGTCACTTATAGTCAGTATTTATTGTTACTGACCAACAACAACGACATCAACATCCAGAATATAATAATATAGGGCCACATGTCAGTATATGTATACTCAGAGTGCATTGGTATGTCGATTAATTAGTTAAGAGTTTGTTTTCATTGTTATGTAAAATACAATCTAAGGTAATTTTTAAAATGAGGTAATTAAAAACGACAATTTGGTACAAAAAACAAAGCTTGATATAAAACTTTCCCAGTGTCAAAAAACCTCATGGTCACACTAGAATATACCCATCAGTCTCAAAGTGTGATTTGTAGTGTTGATTCGTCAGATATTTGGGCCAATAGGGGTGGGATAAAGGGGTGGGAAGGGGTCGTATAGGGGTGCACAATTATCCCCGAACGGATATCTCCCCCAAATAGTACAAGGTATTTACCTTATCTTGTAGCGAGAATATTTTAATTTAAGAGTCTCGCCTGTGATTTATCGTCCAATTTAAGTGTTTCAAGTGTACCTTTGAATGTTGCTTCGTTTGTTATAATTGCATGAATTCTAATGAATTCGTTTACGTTATATTTACAAAGGACTTTATGGAATATTTTCTGCGTTTTTTTTCCTCTTTATTAATATACATATTTTTTTAGTAAGTACTCGTTTGTTTGGTTTGTCGAGGCTTGGGTTTGTGTTCGTAGCTTTTTAATAAGTTTCAGGTGTTCAGTTTTTGATAACAAAATTACGTTAAGATGTTAAACAAGTAAACGAAACCGTACCTTTTGATATTTCTTTTGAAAATATTATGATAAAACTGTAGGTAGTAATTCAACTACAATAACTTTTATTTTGTTTTTATAATAACCATCGTGAGACATTCTAAATTAACTAAAAACTGCGGGTTACTCACGTGAATATACTGAGAAACACGACGTCGCCGCGACCGCGCACGCTGTTCATCAGGAAGAACCCCTTCGTGATTCGAAATTAGTAAAGCTTTTCTCATATTATATATTATATATTCAGGTGAGTAACCCGCAGTTTTTAGTTAATCTTTATTTTATGTTTGGACGATAAGATTTGTATTCATGACATCCTTCAACCGACATCTAGAATCTGTAACAGTACTAGCAAGCCATCATATGAAAACTACGACCATTTCTATGATATCGTGCCATAAAAACCATTGTTCACTCGATAAACCCTATCGAACCCAAACTAAGCGATGGCCACATGTGATACCAATTTGTTTGCGATCGGCGTCGCTCATCGAATCCCGATTAGGGATTCCGTGGATGATCCCAGCGATTCAGACGCGAATCCCGGCAAATGGAGCGATTAGGCAATCTACCCGCTTAAAGCGCTTCAAACTCAAATCAGCGTGTGGGAGCACCGATGTACGGGGACAATGTTTGTATAGCGAATGCTTTAGCGTCTCGGAAATAAGGGGTTGGGTTCGTAATTCGATGAATTCGATTTAGTTAGTATTATTGAAAAACAATTTCTAGAATATATACAAACAATATGGCATACAATCGCCAATGGAAGCCGATATTTAGTTTGTATAAAACAATATCTGCTTTGTCATTTGTATTGTACTAGTACGTTTTTTATATCGTAACTAGCTACTTCCGCGCGGTTTCACACGCTCTGCTCAGCTCCTATTGGTCGTAGCGTGATAGCCATCCTCGATAAATGCGCTATCTAACACAAAAAGAATTATTCAAATCAGACTTGTAGTTCCGAAGATTAGCGCGTTCAAACAAACAAACAAAAAACAAACTCTTCCGCCTTAAATAATATGTAGTATAAGATATAAGATTTTATTATTATGATTCATTGCAACACTGACAATTCTACAGCGATACAAGTGAGAAACACACGATTCCAAATCCCTTGAATTATACATCCTACCAGTTATAAACCGTCTTATACGATAGGCATATTTATTTCAACCGATATAACTGTGAAGAAATTTTAATAACAAAAATAAGAATGTTGCTCGATAGCCTAGTCTTCTGTATGTATTATACCTACCAGTCGATTGGAATTAATTCTAAAGCCACTTGCCTTGTTTCTATTGATAGGTTAGAAAGCTTAGTAAGACTGGGAGTCGAATAATACCAATAATGTCGATTGGAGCTAAATACCAGGTAATTTACTTTGAACTCAGGATTCAGGTTGCCTCGCAGGAATGCCAATTGTGGGTTTATGTGTATCTAATTGTATAGGTAGCGTCATCCTCGCTAATTATACTAGTAGTAGGCACTAATCTGGGCACGCTGTCACAATATTTAAAGATGAACACATTCATAAAAAAAAATATTTATACTCTATGGTCATCTCACTGGCAACATCATTGTACTTCTTTGTGCACGACCTGTCACGTCGTACCCTGGAAAATTTTTCAATTTAATTTGGTGATTTTCCTACTAAATGGGTCGAAAACGTCGCAAGCAGATAGGAAAACTGATGGAGTGTATGCAGGAATTGGATAATTGGGCGAAACCGGCGAGAGGACGCATTCGTTGTCGTCAGTTTGGTAAGTTTTTTCTTGTAGGTACTTACACCACATTGTGGGGCGTTTTCCAATAGCTTCCACAAGCGGATAGCCTTGAGAATGATTGTGTACGCAACATACACACTTGAAACGTACCATAAGAGCCCTCAGGAGAGGTGAGCCATTGGTTATACGTTTTCTATATACCTAGATTAAACCACAAGAGCCTTCACGAGAGGTCGGCCGTTGGTTACACGTTTACTATAGATCGAAACCACAAGAGCCTTCACGAGAGGTTGGCCGTTGGTTACATGTTTACTATAGATCGAACCACAAGAGCCTTCACGAGAGGTTGGCCGTTGGTTACATGTTTACTGTAGATCGAACCACAAGAGCCTTCACGAGAGGTTGGCCGTTGG